TATATATATATATATATATAAATATATAATATGTAATTTTTATTTTAAAATAAGGGTCATTAAATATGGACCCGTAACATGCATGAGTGACAAGAGTTAGATCCCTTGGATCATTAGCATAGTAATACTCGTTAAGGCATCAAGACCGTCACGGGAGTCGCTCTCCTATCAAACCTGGCTAGCTATTCATGCAAGCATGCAAATATAAATGCAAGCAGCCAAATTAAATAAGTAGTGACAAAGAGTATGCGGTGAAGGCAGTGACTCAGGAAAGATGGGCATACCGTAACGGTAGTGGCCCAAAGCGGATATGCCTAAGCGACAATGACCCAAATGAAAGGGCATGTCGCAAAGGAAGTAGCCTGAAAAGGATATGCTGAGGCAGAAATGACCAAAAGGGATGGCCATGCAGTGGTGGCAGTGGCTCAAAAAGGGTATATCAAGGCAGCAATGACCGAAAGGAATGTGCAGCCCAAGTAAATGACAATGATCATGCAAGAAAACACACACAGAACATGATGTAATATGTGTAAGCTGGAACACATGCACGCGCACATGCACAACATGCAATGGTGCAAGTGGTTGGTCAATCGAGTCGGGGTAGCCAGTCGAACCAAAGTGTTGTGTTAACTAGTCAGGGTGGTCGGCTGAAGCACAAGTGGTGTCAATCGACCCGGGATGGCCGATTGAGACACAAGTGATGTTGATTGGTCTGAGATGATCAATCGAGGCATAAGTGGTGTAGGTGTAAATGCAATATGCAAAATGATCCATGCAAGGCACAAATGACACAGTCTAAATCATGCATGCAATAACAAGTCGTGCTCGTGCTAACGATCTCACATAAGAAAACTTAGGTTTAGCATTTGGACGCGCGGCATAACCGCCTCCTACTTTGGCGAGGTAAGTGGGGAGTTTCTCCTCGGATTTCTAAGGGGGAAACTCTCCACACCATCGTGAAACGGGATAACTACAAATATTTTCCCAATTTCATGATGCCTAATGGCTTTGCAAAGTAAGCTAACTATAAAGCTTTTCTCACTTTGCCAAAGCCAACCTCTCAATTTCTCTAAGGAAAATTGGGGCATCCAAAGTAATGGGTGTGATGGGCTCCATGGAATTTTTGTGCTAGGGCTCACAACATAAGGAAACACTTCGTTCTATGGGGCGTTCATCCACGCATGGAAAACCCTTACTTAAAGGCTTGCTCTAGAAAAGCAAGTGATCCATAACATAAGTGTGTGGCCACGCCTGTTAATGTCAGCCGGCGCACGCACCCCGTGGGTGCGATCGAACCCACACGCCTACCACAACTAAAACCTAGGGTTATCTATGGAAAGGAATGCAAAGGGAAATAAAATCTCACCACCGCGGAGTTTGTTCGACGTCCACTAGAGTTTGGGAAGAAGCTCTTTTATAAGTTAGGAGAGAAGCTCACAAGTCCTTCCCAAAAAGTGGAAG